AGAAAAAGCTCTCGAGGCCAACTTTGAGGCTCTGGAAATTGACATTCTGGGTTGAGTCAAGCTCAGCCAATTCCTTCCCTAGGTTTAGAAAGTCTCATACTTTCATTTCCAACTCCAAACTCCAGCTAATCATGTCCCAAACTTCATGCATAAGAGCTCAAAGTTGCTAACTCACACTGACTTCCGGCCTTAGCCAAAATCAGGCATTTTTCTGGTTGCGGGAAAGGTTTTTGAATGGCTTGAAAAACACACCTCTTGGATTTGTCTTCACAATCCAAGCATACCACGTTGTAGACAAACATCCATTGTTCAAAACAAGCCATCTTGTATTTTCACTGTGCCAAGTGAGAGAACTGTCCCTCCAAAGTAGGATTCCTGAAATGGTTTTAATACTTGGACAATTTCCTGCTTTCTTCTTGTCAATTTGATCCGTCGTATTTGCACATGTTTGCACCCTCAGTTTTTATCCATTTGCGGCTCGTAGTTGTATATGTTTTGCCCATTTTACGCTGGCTTGTGCTACTTTGTCATATTTCAGGTCTCAGACGTAGAAGGAAAGGCTAAGCACGAGATTCGGGGCGTTTGGAGGTCATTCGGTCGATCTGGGGGCAAAACGGGGCAGGAGGCCTGAAGAACAGGGTCGTGTACACGAGCGAGCACGCCAGTGTTTTTTAGTGCGAGAGCTGAACTGATGAAGAAGCAAAACACGGGCTGGCCTAAAGACAAACACGGCCGTGTTTCAGACCGTGTTCTTTATGCCGAGGGTTGATTTTTGGGAGCTGCTGCGATGTCCAAAACACGGGCGGAAGTGAAGCAAAACACGGTCGTGTCATTCTATAGGCACGACCGTGTTTTGGCCGACGCGGGCGTGTTTTTAACACGTGGCGAGGGCATGGACAGGCAAAATAAAAACACGGCCGTGCCCTCGATCGTGTTTTGCCCATAATCGGGTTTTTGAGGCAGTTTCAAGTCAAAGGAAAGGGGATCGAGTTTTTGAGCGAAAAACAGAGCCCTAGAGAGAGAAAGTGCAAAGAACACATCCTAGAGGTGATTTTGGAGCTGGGTTTCATCAATAGAGCTTGGAGATCATCATAGGAGTGAAGATCATAATCCCAGAGTAGATCTTCCTCATCTTTATGAGTATGACTACTCTGATTTCTGTGTTCCTCTCTCTCTCTATGGAGTAGAACCCTCTCTCACTTGGGTATGAAGAACCCTAGTTCCATGTGTTAGGGATCTTGATTGTAATGACTTGGGACTGTTATACTGATTGATTTGAATCGATTGATGCATGATTCATTTAGTGAATTGAAGCCTGATCATCTTTTCTTGATTTCTGCTGCAACCTGAGATAGATAGATTCTGATTAGGTTGTTAGAGCGTCATCAATCGGTAGTGGTAGATTGATTATACGAGAGTTAATCGATTTACTGCTTTGTACTGGAATCCAATTCCAGTAGTGGAGTTCTGTGTTCATAGCCTCAGCTTTCTATCCTGGTGAAGACTAGTCGTCTGCCGGGTAGTTGGACTAAGAGGGCTTGGTTAGCTTAAGAGCTTCCAAGCTACTGTCGGATCTTCCGCAGTTTAATCAACATTTAATCAACCCATGGTAATTACAACTGTGACTTCACTAAGGAGCTAGGTGGACTCATTCCCGAGTGACTCTCCCCTTGCTAAAGAACTTTGAACCTTTTCCTGCTTTCTTACTGCTTTTAGTTAAAACCACAATCACGCGACTTAGTTTGCTAGATAATAAATAATAACGGAGTAGGCAGAAGATCTAGGCCCCGGGTTGACAAATAGAGCTTGCTACTTACTGCATTTCCAGATTGCGATTGCACTTGGTCGCAGTTTGGTGTTGTGTTTTAGCGTGTCCATTGGACTGCTCTGGCTTCAATTCTGGTTCGGCCACTGGTTTTAGGGTGTTCAAGCTTGGTGTAAACTTCCTGCCCGATGTCTGCTTCAATTACTTTTCCACCCTGACTGCTAACAGCACAACCTCCTCAATCTCCACGTATGGAAAGAGCTTGACTTTTTTCTTGATGTCACGTTGAAGACCCTGCAAAAATCTGATAATGGTGGCTTCCTTGTCTTCTCGGATATCGACTCTGATCATTAGAAGATCCAGCTCCCTGTAATACTCTTCAACCTTTATGCTTCCTTGCCGGAGGGATTGTAGTGCATTGTGGAGATCGCGTTGGTAATACGAGGGAACGAACCGTGCATCGTGGAGATCGCATGTACAGCCAAGTAGCTACAGGAGGTAATCCAATTCTTCTTCCCTTTATGCGAACTTGTTCCCACCAAGCAGTTGCGTAACCTCCAAACTCATAGGAAGCAAGCGTGATCTTCTATTCTTCAGTGTAATTCTGGCAATAGAAGAACAAGATCACCTTTCGTTCCCAATCCAAGTAGTCAGATGGATTGAGGCCTCCCTAAAATGAGGGAATGCTCAATTTGATTCCTCGCAGATCATCGACGCCCCCTATTTCTGGTGGCCACTGGTCGTGATCACAGAAGTCGTGATTCCGATCATGATAGTTGTTCCCCGTAATCACCAACTGACGCTACAAATTTCCAATGCTATCATTCAGAGCATGCGGAATTTAATCTCCTTCGGGAATGGTTTCCTGCCTCGTCGGTGACTTTGGCTCGGTTGCCGCCTTCGACTTCAACTCCTCTAGTTGGCGATTGATTTGATCAAACTAAGTCTGGAACGTTGCGTTAATTTGTGCAATTATGGTATGCAACATCTCTGTTATGTTAATCTGCTGCCCTGCCATGTATAATTCTTCAATTTCAATCTCCTCATCGCACTCAGAGTCGGACTCTTTTTCTTCGCTTTTCCGTAGAGCAATTGGGTCCTTCTTTCTCGTTCTAGCTGCAATAGGTCGATTGTCCTGCTTCTTCCTCGTCTTGGCCACTGCTTTGAACCAGGCGATGATGCCACTTGATGAGCCCCATATAGGGTTCGAATCAGAATACGTAGCCTAGGATGAATGGATTGGTGTGATGATGGTTTCGTAGTAACAGGGGAAGAATTTGTGGTTAAAACGAACAAAGCTAGCAACTTCAACTCGTAGGGGAAGAAGCTGGTTTAGGTAGAAGATTACTTCGAGATCAACAGAAGTGGGATTGATCTCAAAGTCTGCAAGTCGAGGACAGAAAATCCAAGACCAAACTCAAGCTCTCAAGCTCATCGAAGTACTTTTCGATTAAACTCAGAACGTCCTTCTACAATTCAAAGTGAGGCTATTTATAGCCAAATAAACCTAATTACAATTCCAAAAGAACAAGGAAACAATTCTAAATCAAACAAGGAAAAGAAAACGTCAATAGAAATGAAACTTGCAACTCAAGTAACTAACTTCCCTCACAAGCTAACTGTCAAGAAACAGCCCTCGAGGCCAACTTCGAGGATTTGGAAATTGACCTTTTGGGTTGAGTCTATCTTAGCCAATTCCTTCCCTAGGTTTAGAAAGTTTCACACTTTCATTTCCAACTCCAAACTCTAGCTGATCATGTCCCAAAATCAGCCAGTTTTTTAGTTGCAGGAAAGGTTTTTGAATGGCATGAAAAACACACCTCTTGGCTTTGTCTTGAAAATCCAAGCATACCACATTGTAGAAAAACATCCAATGTTCAAAACAAGCTCTCCATCTTGTATTTTCACTGCGCCAATTGAGATAACTGGCCCTCCAAAGTAGGCTTCCTGAAACGGTTTTAATACTTTGACAATTTCCAGCTTTCTTCTTGTCAATTTGATCTGTTCTTGGAACTATTAATTGAAACTTTTAGGATGGTCGAACCGAGATCATGATTCGGGCCCAATTTTACATGTTTTGCCCTTGTTTTACTTAGGTGTTTGTGCCAAATTCACTCCTAAAAGGTCTGTTTTACGCTAGGTTCCTCGTGTTTTAGTGTGTTTTAGGTTTTATCAGGTGAAACCAGCCTCGGAGGCGAAAGTTGGACGAAAAGGATCAAAAACTGGGAGAAGAGGTGAAAAAGGACCAGTTCACGGCTATCCGAGGAAGTTCACGGACTTGCACGACCGTGAAGAAGAGCCCTTGAACGTGAATCGCGAGACGTCCAAAGCCAAAATGGAGGTTACTGGCCCAAAGTGAGTTCACGATCACTAAGACCATGAACGAAGGATGTTGACCGTGAATAGAAGAGATCGAAGCGGTGTGCTTTGGCACACGCCTGCAGTTCACGGATGCGTTTCGTGGTTCACGATCGTGAACTCAGGTCGTGAACTGAGCTCGTCTCTGGTTTAAATGATGAGCTTAAAGGAGGGGAGAGGGGAGAGCCCACTTTTTGTGAAAAGCCTTCTTCATATTTCTAGAGAGAGAAACACGAACCAAGGAAGAAGAAGGCTAGGGTTTTGCTTCAAGGTGGATTTTGGAAAGATTTCCTCTAAGGAAAGCTCAACACAAGAGCCATGGAGATTGGGAGCATCCTCCAAGATGGTTTCCTCTTCTTCTCTTTGTGTTTTTCCCATTTCTAGCATAGAGTATATCTCCTTTCACTTGGGTGTTGTGAAACCCTAACTCTACCATGTAGTTTCTTTTATGTCAATTGAATGATTGTCATTGGGTATTGTTTAATTCAATGATTGCGGAATTAGTCATGATTGATTGTGCATGATTTTGCTTAGAAACCTAAGGGTTGTGCATGTTTTGTGCTTAGTGTAACATCTCGTTCCGACAAATCCCATATTTTCGATCGCTAGAAAGTTCGCAATTTAAAATCGAGCGTTTTGACAGTATTTCGGCGAAAATCAGATTATCGGTCGATCGGATAAGTATACATATTAATTATATATATATATGGTGGCGTAATCGGTGCACCTACTTTTTTGGGTGCACTAAACGCACTCACTTTCCTGTTTAATCTTAACCATTGATTACATCTAATGGTTACGATAATTTGATTTATTTATAATTCATTATTAACTAATAAAATATATTATATACATTAAAGTAGTTTAAACTTATTAATAATTGCAATTAGACCCCAAATCCTCTTCTTCCGCGATTGTTTTCCCCTCTTCCCCGTTGATACTTTTCCCAAGCGACAACTAAATTCCAGTGGCCTGCATCCTCATCCTCCGCCACCAGCGTACCAATCCGACTATTGCTTGCATCGTCGTTGCCCTGGAGACAACAATACCACCACAACTACTTCTTCGATTTCAACTCTTTCCCCCGTAGAAATCTCTGGCAATAACTTCTCGTCTGAATTGCTAGCGGCCTCTCAACATTAGCAACAACAACACTATGGGTTCCCGTTGCTTCAGCAATTGAGGCCCAGCCTACAAAGTATAAATACATGGAACAGTAGAATAATCCCCAATTCAAACTATGCAGAGAGTTCAGTTTGCGAACTCGGTCCAGTCGACTCAGCCTATTTAGATGAGGCAGAATAACAGGGGAATTGGTGTTACACCTCCTGCTCCGCCGGCGGCGGCGGGTGGTGGCCAGGAGTCTGAGAAGAAGAAGATGAATCGGCTCCATGAGTTGGAGAAGCATCTTCTAGACGAAGATGACGACGAGGAAGGATCCGGCGGGGACACTGTTTTCGTTATCACCAATACCAACAGCAACTGGTCGGAGACGATTCAAAATCTCATCTCAGCGTGCTTTTGGATGAGGCTGCAAATAATTCGCGAACTGATAAATTATGGAGCGCTAATTAATGAATGAAGGAGCACAAATTATTACAAGCAGAATTTCACTATCATATTTTGTTGCCTTCTTGTATTGGTTGGTGGGCGGAGGGATCTGGGGTTTTTGTTGCTTTCTCATATTGCTTGGCGAGGCCAATTATATTGACACAATTCAATGATTACTTTATTACTTTGAAGTTTCACATTGATCTATCCTCATGATTCATCGTCAACACTGTATGTCCATTGTTGCTTCCATGCTCTGTTCACTTCGGTCGTCCGCAATTGACTGGCGATTGTAGCTTGATAAAGTTCTTTCGACGCAAACAATTCGCCAGCTACACAATTCTTCAAATTGGAAGAAGAAATGAAAAATAGTCACCTCCTGTTGTGTAATTAATTTGATAGAGGAAGTCTAATTGGGAAGCTTGACAGAGGTTGGGAAGAAGAATAATCTGATTGTCTTTTTGATGTGAGGGAGAAATATGTTTATGTTGGTGAGAGGAAGAAGAGGGGAAAAGAAACGGGGAAGAGGAGGGTTAAAGTTGGGGGTTCATTTGCAATTATCAATAAGTTCAAATTATTTTAATCAATATAATATAGTTTATTAGCTAATAATTATTTATAAACAAATCAAATTATTGTAACCGTTAGATGTATCTAACGGTTAAGATTAAAAAAAAAGTGGGTGCGTTCAGTGCACCCAAAAAAGTGAGTGCACCGTGTTTGTTCATCATACCACAGATGATGATTGACATCGTTTTCACATGAATCGCCTGCTCAGAATGACAATTATAAAGCGGGGTGCATTGAATGCACCCAAAAAAGTGAGTGCACTGAAGACATAACCATATATATATATATATGGCGAGTTCTACGGTACCCTGGGTAAAATCCGGGGTACCACATACCTTGAGTATGAAAACACTATCTAGACCTTGAATTGACCGATCTTTCGGACATGATACTATACTCTAACCCTTAAAGATCAAAATCTAGGTCTTAATTCTCCTAATATTATACTCCAAGATCAATTTAATTAGAAACAATAATCGACGGTTATGATTCGTCCAAATATAGGCACAAAAAGGAATGCACCATCTTAGGGTTTATAGATTATGATTTAGATAATTAGGACCTAGGGTTCACTCATTAAGGGTTAGGGTATAGTATCAGACCCAAAAATCCTGCTAATTCGAGGTCTAGATACCGTTTCCATACTCAAGGTATGCGGTACCCCAGATTTTACCTGGGGTACCGTAGAAGGCACCATATATGTATATAATTCCAGGCCGCATATATATTAACTTTCCCCCCGGTCCATTATCTCCATCACAATCTTCTTCGGTTCCATTTTTCTGGACCGAGAGTAGAGGCTCTTCAGGGGACGCGAGGAAGTAAATTGCAAAGCTCAATTCATGAGCTACAGTAATCCAAAAATCCCGTAAGTAATGCCTAATTCATCTATACATCATGATTTATCGATTTAGAGCATTAAAACGAGTTTTTGGTTCAGGAATTTCTGGAATTCCCGATAAGCTTATTAGGGTTTCGGAGTATCCGGAAGCCGGATTGAGCCCAAATTTCATATACGAGCTTCCTGCAGCGAGGGGATATGTGGACGGTCTCGGATTTTAATTCGGGGTTCGTTCGTGAAATTGACATTTTAGTACGAGAAGGTTAAACCGGTGTTTGAACGACCAGAACTGGTGAGGGATTAGCACAACATACCGGGTTTGTCGTATCACGATAATTATATTGATGCTTAGAATTGACCTAGGTGAACTAGAATGGCATGATTAAGGGTGTATGAACTTTTGTGCTATATGATGAACCATGGACTACTGTATGATATTATTGACTTGCCCTAATCGTGATGGACCTTGTTTATACTGATGATTTCGTATATGTTGCAAATTGTGGGCTTGACTGTTGATATGCCTTATGATGGTTCTAAAAGGTGATTGGGTATGATTTTTCATGATTGTTGTATTTGGATGCACATGTGGGAAAATATATATTCCCTGGTGATATTATGATGTTTAAGGAGGATGACTTGCACGAGGGTTTATCCCAAGGAAGTGCAATTATACGACTCTTCATTTACCTATGTTGAGCCAATTGTGGCCAGGTCAAGTACATGTGCAAGTAACATATTATGATTTAGCAAGATGAGATATGGATCATGTATAAGGATACCAAGTAAGAGTACTTTGGTCTCATAGTCAATTACATAGTAATTAGGGCTCCCCATGCTATTACTCCGTTATGATATGTTATGTCACACCCCTGATGTGATGTTGACCGTTGATTCATCATGAGATATGACCACACCTAGAGTGGTGTCGAGTCCGATATGACTACACCCAGAGTGGTGTCAGGTCCGATATGACTACACCGGCAGTGGTGGGTCCGATATGACCACATCCACGAGATGTTTGGTCCGTATGCCCGGGAGAGTAACTAGCATGGGAGTAGCTAGGCGCCTATGATTAAAACATGATAAGATGCATATGCATAAGTCAAGGTGGTTGAGTCTTTTGCCTATTGGGATATGAGGATGGCTGAGGTCCGATCCTAGTGTTTTGGCTTGATTGTTAGATGTATGATAGGGGTATGCTCTGTTATGAACTCACGATGCTATGATTATCTCACTCCGCTATGAGCTGACCCTCTTTTATTCTTCTTCTCTGCTTATGCTATGTGTAAGCAGATCATCAGCAGCAGCAGTAGATAAGTGTTAGGTGGGAGAGGAGCTAGAGTTGAAGCCATGATGAGGGATGGTCTTCAACTATTCTGTGCTTGGATGACTACTCGGGATTTTGGCCAGTGATCCACACCTTTTTGAAAAAAATGTTTTGAGAACGTTTTTCATGTGCATACTAGCTTCTGATGTAGTGTGAGATCTCGACAGGTGTGGAAAGTTTATGATATGTGTATATGTTGTGTAACTGTGTAAGTTGGGACGATTATGGAGTATGAAAAGTGTGACTATGGCTAAGAAAAGCCAATGCATATGGTTGTGAGTATATATGTTTGTGATGAATTATTTTGCAGGTTTTAGTTACAAGAACTGTTAGCCCATTATGCGAGTAATTCATGTCGAAATTTTATTTTGGTAAATATTGATGATTAATGTAACACCCGAGATCATTTCCGCTGCAATTGTATGAACAATATGATTAGGTAATACGTATAGGGTAGGGTGTTAGAGTTTGGTATCAGAGCCCGGTTCCCTCTTTTTGTTGTTATGATGTACTATGCCCAAAGGGAGGTTAAACACTCCTAAGGAGGGGAGTACCCCATAATAACTTAAACTGGGAATTGAGTTTGACATGATTATGTGTATTGGTATGTTGGATGAAATTATCTGCATCATGGTTTCAAAATTTAGTTTTGAACTTATTGTTTTCAAGTAATTATTTTGGGAAAATTTTGTTTTAACCAAGTGAGAGATTTGGTGAAGAATGAATTTTGTGTGGATCAATCTAAGGCCAATATTTCATTATAGCTAGCACGGAAGTTGTGAAAATATTCCTACTAACCAGCCGAGAGGAGTGGGGGCGGTTGATGCAAGACCGCCAGTATTAGACTATGCAAAGATGAAGAGTTTGGGTGGTAGGGACTTCAAGGGAGATGTGAGCCCAGATGCTGTAGTAGAGTGGTTGAGAGAGATGGAAGATGTGTTTGAGTATCTTTCTGCGACCCCAGAGGAAAAAGTACAATATGTTGTTTTTCTCCTAAAGGGGTACGCGAGGAGCTGGTGGTCCTCAGTCTCTAGAGTTAATGGTGAACGAGTTCAGTTCACCTGGGAGGAATTCTTGAAGGCCTTTAAGACAGAGTTCCTTCCCGAAGCTTTTATCAGGGCAAGAATAATGAATTCGCCAACCTTAAGCAGGAGAACATGACAGTTACTGAGTACACTATCAAGTTTGTTCGACTACTCTACTTTGAAGATGGGTTGGCGGATACTGAGTATAGAAAAAGATGAGATACTTACATGGTCTGTGCATAGGATTGAAAGAAAAGATCCACAAGGTTGATGAAGAGAGTATGGCCACTATCAAGGAGGCAACACTTAAGTATGAAGCCTATGAAGTTGAGGGTAGAGAGGAAAATAAGGCCAAAGAAGAGGAGAAGAAGAGGAAGTTTGGAGTGAGTTATTCTGGACCTCGTTACCCATCCAAGAGAGGTCCCAGAAGTTTTGGGAGAACACCGAGTCAATCTATGTCAGGAACATCATACAAGGCACCAGTTTCCTCAGCCACACCTGCTCCAGTTTGTCAAGTTTGTCAGAAAAGACACTTTGGAGAGTGTTGGAGGTTTTCTGGAGTATGCTTTCAATGCGGCCAGTCGAGTCACATTATGAGGAACTGTCCTTATAGGGGAGGAGGAAGACCTACTCAGTCCGAACCTTTAGTGCAATTTAGTTGAGCCCCAACTAGAGGTGGTTACTAGGGAGGCCGTAGTGGATTTCAGAGTGGTCGTGGTGGTTTACAGGGTGGTAGAGGTGGTGGTCGAAATCAGCCATTAGGAAGTGGTACACAGGGTACCAGAGCACAGCGAGCACCGAGGGTTTATGCAATGACTCGAGGTGAAGCAGAAGTGGCACCAGAAGTTGTGGCTAGTATGCTTTCTATCCTTGGCAAGCAATTATATGCTTTGATCGATAGGGTTCCTCTCACTCATTCATGTTATATACGTTTGCACATATGCTATGCTTATTTCCACATAAGCTAGGTTATACCGTATGTGTTAAAACACCTGTGGGAGATACCTTGAAGGTAGACTCAGTTATTAGAAGTTCCTTCATTTGTGTGGAAGGAGCTTTCCTAGCAGCATATTTAATTCTGCTACCTTTTGATGAATTTGATGTCATCCTTGGAATGGACTTTCTGGCAACACATGGAGCTGTTGTGGATTGTCAAAAGAAAAAAGTGTATTCAACACACGAGATAAAGGTCCTGTTGTATTTTGAGACATTAAGAAAAAGGAAACTCATGGTTTTCTTTCTGCCTTGGAAGCTTTTTGATTAGTGAAGGAAGGTTGTGAAGCCTTTCTTGCTCAAGTTACTGTTGTAAATGATAAGAAGGTTGAGGATGTAGAGGTGGTAAGGGAGTTTCCTGATGTATTCCCCGAAGAACTTTCCGGCCTTCCACCATAAAGGGAAGTAGAGTTTGATATTCAATTGGTGCCTGGCACAACACCAATTTCAATGGCACCATATAGAATGGCACCAATTGAGCTGAAGGAGCTTAAAGAACAATTGCAAGAATTGCTAGACAAGGGGTTTATTCGACCTAGCATCTCACCTTGGGGTGCACCGGTTCTGTTTGTCAAGAAGAAAGATGGCTCCATGAGAATGTGCATTGACTACCGGAGGTTGAATAAGGCGACAGTGAAGAATCGTTATCCCCTTCCAAGAATAGATGATTTGTTTGATCAATCGCAGGGTGCATCTGTCTTTTCTAACATTGATTTGAGGTCTGGATACCATCAACTGAAAGTGGCAGATGGAGCGACCTCAAAGACAGCTTTTAGAACAAGATATGGGCATTATGAGTTCCTGGTAATGCCTTTTGGACTCACTAATGCACTAGCGGTACTTGTAGCTCTTATGAACAGAGTTTTCCATGAATATCTTGATAAGTTTGTGATTGTGTTCATAGATGATATTCTCATCTATTCTAAAAGCGAGAAGGAGCACAAAACTCACCTTAGAATTGTGTTGCAAATTCTAAGGGAGAAACAATTATATGCAAAATTCTCAAAATGTGAGTTTTGGCTGAAGGAGGTAATATTTCTGGGACATGTAATTTCTGGGAGAGGTGTCGAGGTGGATCCGAAAAAGGTGGAAGCAGTGGTGAGTTGGGCTCCACCAAAAGATGTGTCAGAGTTGAGAAGTTTTCTTGGCATGGCGGGTTACTATCGGCGGTTCGTAGAAGGATTTTCTAAAATTGCTGCACCATTGACTAAACTGTTGAGGAAGAATACCAAGTATGTTTGGGATGAATCATGTCAAAAGAGTTTTGATGAACTGAAGAAGAAATTGACCACAGCACCAGTACTTGCATTACCTTCAAACCATGGAGAGTTTGTGGTGTATAATGATGCCTCATATCAAGGATTGGGTTGTGTGTTAATGCAAGATGGAAGAGTTATTGCATATGCCTCTAGGCAATTGCGTCCTCATGAAGTAAATTATCCCACTCATGATTTGGAGTTGGCAGCGGTGGTATTTGCTCTCAAGATTTGGCGACATTATTTGTATGGTGAGACTTTTAAAATCCTCACTGATCATAAAAGTCTGAAGTATATTATGGATCAGAAGAATTTAAATAGTCTCCAAAGGAGATGGATTGAACTTCTAAAAGATTATGATTGTACAATTGATTACCATCCAGGTAAAGCTAATGTAGTTGTTGATGCCCTAAGCAGAAAGGGGAAGAAGAATATAAATGATCTGGTTGATTTGAGGGCAATAAATGTGGATTTGGAAGTGGATGGTGTAACAGGGTTACTAGCTCGGTTGAACATTCAACCTTTGTTGCATGACAAAATTCGTGAGAAGCAGAAGGAGGACCCAGAGTTGGCAAAAATCATTCAAGACATTGAGGAAGGAAAAGAAAGCCCATTTGAAATGGTAGATGGCATGTTGAAGATGAATGGAATAGCATGTGTTCCTAATGTTGATAACTTGAGGAAAGAGATCCTAGATGAAGCTCATTCTTATGCTTATGCTATGCACCCAGGAGCAACTAAAATGTATCACACGATTAAACCATATTTTTGGTGGCGTGGGATGAAAAAGGAAGCGGCTGAACATGCTTTCACATGTCTGGTATGTCAGAAAGTTAAGGCAGAACATCAAGCTCCTGTAGGGAAACTGCAACCACTTCCAATTCCAGAATGGAAGTGGGAAAGAATCACAATGGATTTTGTATATGGTCTCTCATCATCACGGGGAAAAGATGCAGTATGGGTTATTGTGGACTGACTGACCAAATCGGCTCACTTTTTACCCATTAGATGGAAACCATCACTGGAGACTTTGTCTCAACTATATATTAAGGAGATCGTCAGATTGCATGGTGTGCCAATTTCTATTGAAGAGATCGAGACCCGAGCTTCACATCTCGGTTTTGGCAAAGTTTACATGATGCCTTGGGAACTAAACTGCATTTTACATCAGCTTATCATCCTCAACCAGATGGGCAGAGTGAACGAACCATCCTAACTTTGGAGGAATTACTTCGATCATGTGTAATGCAATGGGAGGAATCAGGATTGACCATTTGCCCCTGATTGAGTTTGCTTACAACAATCAGTACCATAGTAGCTTGGGTGTTCCACCATATGAAGCACTTTATGGGAGGAAATGCAGGACACCATTATGTTGGGATGTAGAAGGATCAGGGCAAATCTCAGGGCCAAAGATAGTTCAGATCACCGTTGACAAGGTCAAAGAAATCAGGGAGCGTTTGAGGGTGGCTCAAGATCGGCAGAAAGTTTACGTTGACACGAATAGGCGTGAAGTTAATTTCGAAGTGGGTGAGAAAGTATTTCTCAAAGTGTCACCATGGAAAGGAGTGATGAGATTTGGTAATAAAGGGAAACTTGCACCTCGGTATATTGGACCCTATGAAATCACAGAGAAGATTGGTCCAGTGGCATATAAACTAGCATTGCCTCCAGAGCTATCCCAAATCCACAATGTATTTCATATTAGTATGCTAAAGAGGTACAAAGTGGATCCTTTCCATGTAATACAACCAGAGGAGATCGAGTTACGCCCAGATTTGACTTTTGATGAGGTTCCAGTTCATATTGTTGATCACCAGATTAAGAATCTTCGTAGGAAGGAAATCCCAATGTTGAAAGTGGTTTGGAGAAATCAAGATAGTGAGAGTGCTACCTGGAAGACTGAAGCGAGTATGCGAGAGAAGTACCCTGAGTTAGTAGCAACCTACTTTGCAGGTTAACAATCTTGCCTAATAAGTTATGTTTTGAACTTGTTGACGTGCTTTTGTTGTGATAACCCGATATAAGTTTTTGAAACCGTATATTGGGAACATGAGGTGTTATGTGTTTAGTTATGTAATTCAGATCTCCTAACCTAAGAGTTAGGTAATAACCTTATGTACGATCGATCATGTTAAGGATAAGTAAGCAGACTTAAGGTATGACTCAAGGATAGATTTCGGGGACGAAATCTTTTAAGGAGGGGAGAATTGTAACATCCCATTCCGACAAATCCCATATTTTCGATCGCTAGAAAGTTCGCGATTTAAAATCGAGCGTTTTGACAGTATTTTGGCGAAAATCGGATTATCGATCGATCGGATAAGTATACATATTAATTGTATATATAATATTAGTAGGGGAAGGTTAAACCGGTGTTTGAACGACCAGAACTGGTGAGGGATTAGCACGGCATACCGGGTTTGTCGTATCAAGAGAATTATATTGATGCTTAGAATTGACCTAGGTGAACTAGAATGGCATGATTAAGGGTGTATGAACTTTTGTGCTATATGATGAACCATGGACTACTGTATGATATTATTGAATTGGCCTAATCGAGATGGACCTTGTTTATGCTGATGATTTCATATATGTTGCAAATTGTGGGCTTGACTGTTGATATGCCTTATGATGGTTCTAAAAGGTGATTGGGTATGATTTTTCATGATTGTTGTATTTGGATGCACATGTGGGAAAATATATATCCCCTGGTGATATTATGATTTTTAAGGAGGATGACTTTCACGAGGATTTATCCTGAGGAAGTGCAATTATACGACTCCTGATTTACCTATGTTGAGCCAATTGTGGCCAGGTCAAGTTCATGTGCAAGTAACGAATTATGATTTAGCAAGATGAGATATGGATCATGTATAAGGATACCAAGTAAGAGTACTTTGGTCTCATGGTCAATTAGATAGTAATTAGGGCTCCCCATGCTATTACTCCGTTATGATATGTTATGTCACACCCCTGATGTGGTGTTCACCGTTGATTCATCATGAGATATGACCATACCCAGAGTGATGTCGAGTCTGATATGACCACACCCAGAGTGGTGTCAGGTCCGATATGACTACACCAACAGTGGTGGGTCTGATATGACCACATCCACGAGATGTTTGGTCCGTATGCCCGGGAGAGTAATTAGCATGGGAGTAGTCAGGCGCCTATAAGTAAAACTTGATAAGATGCATATGCATAAGTCAAGGTGGTTGAGTCTTTTGCCTATTGGGATATGAGGATGAATGAGGTCTGATCCTAGTATTTTGGCTTGATTTCTAAATGTATGGTAGGGGTATGCTTTGTTATGAACTCACAATGCAATGATTGTCTCACTCACCCATGAGTTGACCCTCTTTTATTCTTCTTCTCTGCTTATGCTATGTGTAAGCAGATCATCAGCAGCAGCAGTAGATAAGTGTTAGGTGGGAGAGGAGCTAGAGTTGAAGCCATGATGAGGTATGGTCTTCAACTATTCCGTGCTTGGACTACTACTCCGGATTTTGGCCAGTGATCCACACCTTTTTGTAAAAATGTTTTGAGAACGTTTTTCATGAGCATACTAGCTTCTGATGTAGTGTGAGATATCCACAGGTGTGGAAAGTTTATGATATGTGTATATGTTGTGTAACTGTGTAAGTTATGACGATTATGGTATGCAGTTGTGGAGTATGAAAAGTGTGACTATGGCTAAGAAAAGCCAATGCATATGGTTGTGAGTATATATGTTTGTGATGAATTATTTTGCAGGTTTTAGTTACAAGAACTGTTAGCCCATTACGCGAGTAATTCATGTCGAAATTTTATTTTGGTAAATTTTGATAATTAATGTAACACTCGAGATTATTTCCCTTGCAATTGTATGAACAATATGATTAGGTAATACGTATAGGGTAGGGTGTTACACTTAGCATCCTTAGGTTTGTGTATTTTGGTTCTTAGCAACCTAAGGATTTTGCATAATTGTGCTTAGTACCCTAGGTTTGTGCATGTTGGTGCTAGAAATCTAATTAGCCACCTTAACCTAGCTTAGAGAGGAAAATCCCCCTTCCAAGGGAGACTCAATCGAGTTGGTTTTCCTTCGGCTTTTAAGCCACCTAACTAAGTTAATTTAGGGCAAACTCAGTGTTGAATTAAGCAAATAGGTCAATTGTGATTAAGCCGTCTGACCTTTGAGTTAAGTGAGGGAGTAAGTCAATGACTCACTTCTACTGTCACTCTAGGAATTGGCCAAGTGAAACCACGTCCTAAAGTGTAGTATAGCGGGTTTGGGTTTTAATGTCAACCCGGGTCCTAGATTTGATGACTACTCGGTGAATTCTTGTTATCTAGCAATGAAACTTTAATGCAAGTCTAAACTAACAAACAAACAAAGCAAGTAAACGGTTGTTTTCAGGTTAAGAGAGGTCACCCGGATATGGTTCCCCCTAGACTGCAGTTAAGCCGGATTGCAATTACGAAGTTTAGTTTCTATGATAGTTATACTGCGGAAGGTTCTTAAGCAGTCTGAAGTCTCGACTAAAGGTCTCCAGACCCTCTCAATCTGAGTCTCTAGCGGGCGACTAACCTCCACCGGAGTAAACAGATTGAGGCCCTAACGAACAAAACCTCCACTACCGAAGTAAATTCGGTACAGAATAGTGAGTTGGCTCCTCGACTAAAGTCACCAACTCCCTACCTTCAATCAAGGATGCTCTATTAACCAAGGCAGATATTCTCATTCTAGGTTAAAGCAAAAACAAGAGGAATTTGATCAGGATTCATGCCATTCAATCATTCAAACCTCAATTGAATATAATCAAATCATAGAATCAGTACTTGGGTTCATACAATCAAACCTAACATACAAATCTAGGGTTTCCCATACCCAGATGAATGGGAGAACTACTCCATGGAGAAAGAAGCAAAAGCAAAATCAGACGCGGAAATCATACTGTGAAGGATGGATTTCTGCTCCTGGACGTTGATTGGCACTCCTCCAAGCTCAAGCCAAGCTCCAATGGTGATGAAGATCAAGCTAGGGCACTTGGGAACTCTTGTCCGTCGCTTTCTCTCTCTAGGAATCGCTCTGTCTCTCTAAAACTCGAATCCCCTTCTGTTTTGGCTGAAATCTGCTTAAAAGGGCATCACTGGGAAAAACACGGTCGAGGGCACGGCCATGTTCTGCTTCAGCCCGCCCTTGCCCTTGCCAAGGGTTAATTACACGGCCAGACTGTTGGGAGAAACACGGGCGTGCTTTCGGTGGACACGGTCGTGTTCTGTCTCAGCCCTGCCCGTGTTTTTAGCTAGTGTTTTCCAAACTCAGATCAAGTCTCGGCAGTAAAGGCACGGTCTAGGAACACGGCCGTGTTCTGATTTAGGCGTGCCCGTGTTTTGGCTCCAGCTCGACTGAATGACTTCCGAATGCCCCGAAACTCATGCTTAGCCTTTCCTTTGACGCTTGGGACCTGAAATATGACAAAGTAGCACAACCCGGCGTAAAATAGGCCAAAAATACACGACTATGCCCCTCAAACGGATAAGAACTAGGGCCGTAAATATGTGCAATTACATCGTTATCAGTCAATTACCAATTGTCTAAAACGAGAGGGTCGAGTGACACGGCCTTTAATGTTCACCTCGGTTTAGCAATTGAGATTGTGGCGCCCGACCATTTATGCATCCCTCTGTGGTTCATGATTACCTTGCCCAAAACAGTCATTCCAATTCACATATCATGGTAGTAGTTAGGGGGAAGCGACACCCGAGTGATCCTTCCACAAAAGAGTTCTCAAAACCCATTTACCTTTGTCCTATTTAAGTACAATTAGCAAACTTTTAAACCAAAACTATGTTGCTAGATAATGATTAAAACAACCTGAAGCACGGGTAGACGGATCGGCCCGGGTTGATATCTAAATACTTGTTCTATACTGCACCAGGCTAGAGTTTAAAAACTTGGACTCTAGTCGAGATTTTATTGTGGTGTAGTTTCGTGCGAGTCAAGTTTTTGGCGCCGTTACCGGGGAACAACGGGTAGTTATCTTGAAAAATTTGGTGGTTGTTAATCTAGCTTTTAATTCCCAGTTTTACAAGTGTGTGTGTTTTGCTTGTGCTTGACTTGGTGTGTTTTCCGATTTTGTGTAGGTGGTGCATGACCCGGAGTAACCTGACACCTTTGCAACCACTTGACGAGGACATAAATCGAACTCTCTGGCTCCTAGCACGGAAGAGAGAGCTAGAGGAGGCAAGGAGAAGAAGTGAAAGAGAGGGACAACGTTTGGGTCCCGGTGTTAGTGGAGAAATAGTTGAAGAAGTGGAAGTTGAACCCGTCGAGGTAGTAGTAATGGCAGGGAACCAAAGGCAAGATGGCGCTCAAGCCTGCTAGTTGAACGATGCGGACATGCGGCGAAGGATGAGGATGCCCCGAGGATGATGGGGTAATACATTGGCCCAAGGTCGGCGGACATTCAATCGCCAATCCTACATCCTCTAGTGGCGGCAAAAAATTTCGAGATCAAGCCGGCTCTAGTGACTATGATACAAAGTAATGCTCTATTCCACGACCTTGAGAGCGAGTCACCAAGAAAGCACGTCCAGAGATTCTTGGAGCTAGCGGGGAGCTTGAAAATTAATGGTGTGTCGGCTGAAACTTTGCAATTAAGGCTTTTCCCATACTCACTCTTGGGGAAAGCACTTAGCTGGCTAAACAACCAGCCACCTCATGGGATGATCTCCTCAACATGTTTATGGCTCGTTATTGCCCGCCTTCAAAGACGGCGGAGTGAAAAAGAAGATTACACATTTCGAGCAAGAAGAGGACATGACCTTCAGGGATGCTTGGGAGAGGTACTCCAACTACTTTCTTCAGTACCCTCACCATGGGTTTGAAGAATAGTTCCGGATCGAAACCTTCTATGGAGGCCTAATGTAAGAAGATAAAATTCTCATTGACTCCTTGTGTCAAGAAAAATTGATGAATATGGCTACACCCCAAATAACCAAGATACTTGAAGACATGGCCCTTAGGGGATACGATTGGGGGGTTGACTAGAAGTGGAAGAAGAAGCAATGATAGGGAAGTGAGAAGCGTGGGAGCGTGTGCTCCGCTTGAGGCGAAGTTGGATAAGTTGCTTGAGGTTATGCTTGAAGATAAGAAGCAAAGAAAAAGGCTGGTGATGTCGTGTGACTGGTGCTCGAGCACCAGTCATGAGATGGCGGAGTGTCAAGCAATGAAGTAGGAAACCACTCCAGAGGAGCAAGTCAACTCCGTGGCAAATGCTAGGGTCAACAACCCGTATAGCCATACTTATAACCCGGATGGAGGAACCACCCCAACTTTGCTTGGGCGACGCCGACAAATCCGAGGCCCCACGGGAAATTTCCATCCTCGGCCGACCTTCATCTAACAAAGGCCCCAACTCCAAGGCTCAAGCTTCCAACAAACGTACCAATCACAAGGTGCCCTAGGGTTTCAACAACAATAACTCGACAAGCTATCTAAACTTGAAGACCTAGTGAACACCTTTGTTAGTATGAGTAGCCAAAAGTTGGAAAAGATAGAGCAATTTATGGATGTGGCGACTACCAAGTTTACCTCGGTCGAGGCGGGTCTCCGAAGCCATCAAACGAGCCTCCTAAGCTTGGAGGTGCAAATCAGCAACCTTACCGGTATCCTCACCGAGAGACCCAATGGAGCTTTACCCTCCCAAACCGTGGTGAACCCCAAGGACCATGCCGGGGAAAATGCACTTCAGGTGAGGAGTGTGAAGGTGGTTCCGGAAGTTGCCACTAATGAAGTGATGGAAAAGGAAGATACCAATAAGGAAGTGACCAACCCAAAGAAGGGAGAAGGGAAGCCCTCGAGGAATGAGAGGAAGGCGGCAAGGAAGGCTTTGCCAGTGGATGGATACACATCACCTCTTCCTTATCCCACAAGGATGTACAAGGAGAGGTTGGAGAACAAGCGTGGAGGTTTCATGGAAATGCACCGCAACCTCCACCTCAACATCCCTTTCCTTGAAGCCATGGCTCAAATGCCAAGATATGGCAAGTACCGCAAAGGATTCCTCACCAAGAAGCCAATGCTTGAAGGCCTCGCCAAAGTGACTCTTGGTGAGGAGTGTTCGGCTTACCTCCTCGACCGCTTGCCCAAAAAGCGGTCCGATCCAAGTAGCTTTACTATCCCTCTTGATATTGGCAACCATCACATAGACAATGCCTTGGCGGACCTAGGAGCTAGTGTTAATGTGATGCCCTACAAGCTTTTCAAAAAGTTAGAAGTAGGTGAACTTAATACCTCTAAGCTTAGCATCATCTTAGCCGACCGTTCGGTCATTAGCTCGAGAGATATAGTGGAGGACATGATGGTGAGAGTGGGCAAGTTTTGCTATCCGGCCGATTTCGTGATTCTCGACATAAGTGAGGACTCGGATATGCCCCTCATCCTCGGTCGTCCCTTTCTTGCAACCTCCAAGGAATTGATAGACGTTAATGAGGGGACCTTAATTTTGAGGGATGGTAAAGAGAGAATCAAGCTTGAAATTGATCCTAGGATTAGGAGTGATGAAGTGAAGGGAGTAGTTTCAAATGATGTGAATGAGAGTGGAGGAGAGCCTCTTTAGGCAAACCCCACCATTACTTGTGTTGCTTTTGGTGATGTTGAGTATCAAGCTAAGAAGGGTCCTAAGCTCAAAAGATCGAGGATGAATGCTTGGAGGAGAAGGAGGAAGGGAGCTTTGACCCGGAAGATGGGGGAAGCTGAAACAATGTTGGCCAACCAAGAGGGCGAACTCAAGGAACGTAAGATGGGGGGCTACAAGCCTAGCCCCGAGAGTGTGGTGGATCCGCTCTCGGTGGCATCACATTCAAATTCGTGATCGATCCCCAACCGTCAAGCTAATGACGATAAATTAGCTCTTGTTGGGAGGCAACCCAACGAAAGTTTGTTTTCTTTTCCTTAATTTTTGTTTTAGTGTGTTGGGATCGATTAGGAAGCATGGAGGAATAGGTTGAGTCAAAATTTTATAAGAAGTCCCCTGTTTTCACATATTTTCACGGACGAATTGCTGAGTTCACGGTCTTATAAGACCGTGAACACGCAAACGCGTCCGTGAACTGGGTACTGATGCATGTTCACCACCTATCAACCACTCCGTGTTCACAGACGAGTTTGAGAGTTCACGGTCGCTAAGACTGTGAACTGGGCAACGCGTTCGTGAACTCCGAGCCGTGGCTATAAAAGGGTCGTGAACGGCGACTCTTCACTTCACGAACAAAATCTCGCCGAAAAATTTCAAATCTTTTTTATCAAGGAAACACGAAAATCCGTCTGTTTTTCGATTTTCCCCGATTTCCGGCGAGCAAAACCAAAACCAACGCCATACCCAGTCTCCTCTCCTCAAAACCGGCCTGTGCTGAGATTTTGGGGAGATTTGGAGCACATTTTTTCCTACCAAGTCACCGGCGGTGAGTCTCCGACGAGCTTTTGACGAAGCTTCGGCGTCCCCTCTTCGGTAAGCTTTCCGACCGTTTTTCACCGTCCTCGTCCGCACCTCACTTCCTCCTATGTCCCACTTGTGTCTCTAGGTTTGTTTTTCGACTTTACCTTTGTGAATTGTGGAGAATTGGATTAGGTAGAGAAGTGAGGTTGAATTTTTGTGCTTTGCATGACTGAATCTAGATTTAGGGTGAGGAATTAGGTGAATTAGGTTGATTGAATGTTGGATTTATTTTTGCATGAGCTTAGTGAGCCTTGGAGGCGTGTTTTAATCAGATTGTGTTTATTTTTAGAATTTGCCCTCCAAGTGCTATGTTATGAATGCAAGTGGAGTTTATTCTTGTTTGGTAGATGGTAGCCATCGTGGTAAGGGTTGTGATTCAACTTTTTGTGTGCTGGAACCAAGAATTACCCACAACCATGCCACGGTGGTTTGAGCTTAAATGTTAGATAACCATGGTGAAAAACAAGTGTGGGGGGGAATTTATTTTCCTCCCAATGAGCATTATTTGAGGAATGTTTCCACGTATGGTGTGTGTTTGTATTTGTGCAGGATGCTTAACTTGGAGTATGAGTTCATCAGTTATCTGGTGAACCACCCGGACTTTGGCGACAAGTTCGTCTACCAGAGTGGCAGCCCCATTGGGCCTCACTGGCGGCTGGACCTGGACATGTTCAACTTGTTCAGGTGTTGAGCTACGATGACTAGAGTGCTCAGCCACCCCCAGTAGCGCCAGCTCTTGACCATGGACGAGGAGATCTACCACGAGCTGTGCGTGGAGTTCTACTCCACCTTCTCCCACATCGTCCTGGCCAGCAAGAAGAGCCGGCCACGGGTGAAGTTTATGCTGGGAGGTCTGCCACGAGTGCTAACCTATGATGCCTTTGCATAGGCCATGGGTTTTGACACCGCCCACATGACGATGACGGAGCGGTAGTACACCGTCGACTTCAACTATCAGGGCACATTCCTAGCCCTCTACCGCCCAGAGCACGAGCAGGACAATTTCGAGGGGAGCCGCACCAATGCGGTGAAGGTGAATACCCCGTGGAGGATCCTCCACACTCTACTCACCAGATCCGTCGTCCCCAGCCTCCAGTCAGGCCACTTGGTGGCGAACGGAGGGCTCATTGCCCTTTACTCGATGAGGAGTCCAGCAGAGCCGATGCATCTGGGATCGTTGATGGCCACCTCTTTCACCTAGTGCCTTGGGTTGAATAGAGTGGACACTATGCACATGGGGGGCATCATCACGAGGATCGCCAGTCACTTCCACGTGGATTTAGTTTGATGCACCAGAGTCGGAAGGATGGAACCCTTCCGAATGGAGACATTGTATAACTAGAAGCTGGTACTCTAGGGCGAGCGAGGAGTGGAGTACCTTGACGGACTCCGACCTTCCGGAGTCATCCGAGCTTCATTAGCACCGGTGACTCGCTATGACACAACACCTAACAATGGCCAAGTGTAACCAATGGAATGGACTGCAGTATAGTGGCTCAAGTGATAAATATCGAATCCACGGGTATCTAGAGTTACTATTACTCAGCTTCAGTTTATTATTTAGCAAACCAGATTAAGATGAAAGAACTAAAACTACTCTAGCAAACTACAGTTAAAGTTAATCTAATTACAGGTTGGGAACTCACTTAGGTATGATTGCCCCTAGCCACTAGCCAGCCTAACGATTGATGATTTCTAACTTGTTTCACTTTCATTCACAATGCGGAGAATCCTTGACTAGACCTTGAGTCTCGACTAAAGGAACAAGGCCCTCTTGAGTCAATTGCCTAGAGGGACGTATCCTTCTCTAGAAAAACTGATCAAGGCGTTCTGAACTAGACTCCCTCTATCGAAAGAGGTTCTCAATCGATACAAAGCAGTGAATCAACCCTCGACTAAAGCAATCGATCCACTACTATCAATCTATGGTGCTCTATTGACCTAATCAGGTATTCCCTCTCATAGGATCAAAGCAGAATCAATAATCTCGACTAAGGCAGAATTGAATCATGAAAACATGCATAGATTGAATATGAACTCAAGATTATCAAGTCAGAGTACTCATACAATCATCCAATCAAACAAACATAGCTAGGGTTCCCCAAAACCTAAGTGAAGGGAAGTTACTCCATAGAGAAGAAAGAGACTGCAGTAAGAATCTTCAGATGATCAGTCTTCAAGTCCGGGCTTGTTCCTCGAGCTTCCAAGGCGAAGAAATCCTTCAATTCCACTCTTAGAATGCCCTCAGATCGCCCTTTCTCTCTTTGGTTCGTCCCTTGGGTGTTTGGGATCCAAAACCCAGCTCTCCCCTTTCCTTTGGCTGAAAATCAGGTTTTAACCAGCAATTCCCGACTCACACAGGCAGGCCGCATGGCCGTGCAGCTCACCCAGTTGCCCGTGCGAGTCAAAACGCAGCGTATCGATTAGTTGAATTCCAGGCTTCTTACACGGCCAGGGTCGTGCAGCTCACCTTGCACGGCCGTGTGGATTTTCTGATCTGCCTGTGTTTCCTCTCGCACAATCCCACACGGCCAAACTGGTCACTTGCACGGCCGTGCAGGTTGTGGATGTGCCCGTGCGACTTCCTTTGTGACTTGCCTCGCGCCCGATATTCGCCCAATCAACCCCAAACTCGCTCCTAAACCTTCATTCACTTGCCAGGACCTAAAATATCACAAACAAGCACAACCTAGCGTGAAATCGGTCTAAAACACGAGAAACCACATCTCAAACGGTGTAAGAACAGGGGTGAAAACATGTGTAATTAATGGTCTATCAACCTCCCCCACACTTAACCGTTTGCTTGTCCCCAAGCAAACCTAACTCAAACCAATGCAACTCTCCAGACCTCTATAGCAACAAACACCCCAGATCGTAGGTAGAAGACTTTCTAGATCATTTAGCAACTTACGAGGTCAACCGACGCACAAGTCATCTCATAGCTTCTTCGGCGAGAGCACTAGTATCGTGTCGGCATCATGGCAAATAGTGAACAGAGGACAAATGAATTGTGGATGAAGAGATTCTCAAAAACAAAGGATCATGGACTCACATTTTTCAAGGTGCTCTATTTTCTTCTTGAAGATGGTTGGAACCCCTTTTCTTTCTGTTTTGCTTGTTTTCTGTTATTTTTTTTTTTTTTTAAGGATCCCAACCTGCTCTTACCGGCCATGCCAGGAGCGGATGTCTCGAGCCTCGTGCAAGGGAAAGACATGTAAGGGGGCTGGAGATAGTAGGTGGAAATTGGGAACGAATCCCGTCTCCCCTTACACACTTTCGCCCTATTCGCACGGGAGACGTTATTTTGAAGCACATTTTCGAGCACCTGTTAAACTCAAAACATGAAACAAGAGTCCATGACAGGTAGAGAGTCCACAACACCACACAATTCAAGGGTCCTAAGATCACTAATTCACTCAATCAACCAACACAATATGAAGAAGCAATGAGACTTCTTAAATGCATCAACATCCTCCATAGTGCTACACTACCTCCCTAGGTTGCATATTACTATAAAGACTGTTAATTCAAAGCATACTGAGCAGGAAATTGCAAGGAACACGTACTTGGAGCCCTCAAATTTAAATATTTGGACAGTGGACTAGGCTCCAAGCACACAAACAGCCAAACATTCACCCGCATACATAATCGAACATCCCCCCACACTTAAGCACGACATTGTCCTCAATGGAGGAAAGATAAGGAGGATAGAACGAAGTTACCAGATCAAGGGTAAATGATGATGAATGGGTCAGGCAGTGCATTCCAGAAAGAGAGAGTAATCAGAACACAAACACCACACAAAATCTCACAAAGGTTGAGTTATTGACTCTAAAATCAAATAGCAAAACTGACTCAACCGAGGAGAAATAGAGAAAGAAATGCAAACAGACTGGTTGGGTTGCCTCCCAACAAGCGCTTCTTTCACGTCGTGAGCCGGACGATGGCTCCTAAGTTTCGATCCATGCTAGAACCTCCTTGAAGTTGAGGTTCTCATCAATGAGGTGGAGTCGCAAGTCACGAGCATGTGGTATGACTAGTGATGGAAGCTCGTGCACTTGATGCAGATGAAGTCTCCACCCTCGAGACCTCTTCTTCTCTTCTCTCGTCTCATTGCCCCAAACCAGATAAGACAGCATCGATTGGCCACCATCGCGTCCACCAAGAGGGACCGATGTCGATGTGGCCTTGGTCTGGCAAAGAGACACTACAAATGGGTCCTTGCTAAGCAGTTCCTCGAAGTTTGGTGGAGATATCACATGTAACTCATGGCCGGTGCAAGCCTCTTCCACCTCAACTTCGTCCTCAGCCTGGACGCCAATTGCTTCTTCAACCTCCCTTCCTTCTTCATGTGGTATCACCCCTGGGAAATGATCAAGAACTCCTCCAGCTTCACTTTCGTCATCCTCCACAACTTCTTTCTGCACCCTTTCTTGCTCTTCTTCTTCTAGCACGGATTGGAGAGCAAGTTGCCAAGCAATTTCTTTTATGAGATCTTCTTGCATCTCCTCACTCATGCCCGCCTCTTCAAAGCTCAGTTTGGGGTGTGGGAAGGTGTGGTCGGCTACGACATGACACTCCTGATCATGATTATCACGGGAGCTCTCCGTGACAACTTCAGTGTGCTCTACAATGTCCTTGTAGCCTTCTTCTTCCTCCTCCTCTTCTTGTATGGTAGCAGAAGGGTGATCTGGAGCAGGTTGTGCCCAAGATCGCTCAAGATCATCGACGCTCTTCTTAAGGCTCAGGAGGATCTCCTCTGTTTCACGAAAAGCCTGGACACAATGATCCATCCTAGAGCATGATCTCTCCATGAGAAGCCTCAAATCGTAGTTTGGATCTGGCTGTGGAGTGTAGCATGGCTCTGCAGAATGGCCCGTGAAGGCCGCCATGGGTAACTCCAGCGCCGATGGCCCTTCTGGTTGTGGGAGAAATTCTTCTTGGTAATGAAGTTGTTCTTGATATGCCCAGGGGTCCGGTTGTTCTCCGTAGTAAGGGGGTTGGTATGGAACCCGAATCCATAGTCTTCTCCTCCTTGATTGCTCCAGGGAGTCTCGGGGTAATACCACTCGGGTGGTGGTGGATACCCCCAATTGTTGGAGAAGCCATGAGGATCCATGATTCAGATCTGCACCAACAAAAACAAAAACACCCAAGTGAAAAGCAAGGGTGGAAAAGAAAAGAAAAGAAAAACGCTATCTGCCTTTCCTAATACTCTAAAAAGTCCCCGGCAACGGCGCTAAAAACTTGACTCGCTATGACACAACACCTAACAATGGCCAAGTGTAACCAATGGAAGGGACTGCAGTATAGTGGTTCAAGTGATAAATATCGAATCCACGGGTCTCTAGAGTTACTATTACTCAGCTTCAGTTTATTATTTAGCAAACCAGATTAAGATGAAAGAACTAAAACTACTCTAGCAAACTACAGTTAAAGTTAATCTAATTACAGGTTGGGAACTCACTTAGGTATGATTCCCCCTAGCCACTAGCCAGACTAATGATTGATGATTTCTAACTTGTTTCACTTTCATTCACAATGCGGAGAATCCTTGACTAGACCTTGAGTCTCGACTAAAGGAACAAGGCCCTCTTGAGTCAATTGCCTAGAGGGATGTATCCTTCTCTAGAAAAACTTATCAAGGTGTTCTGAACTAGACTCCCTCTATCGAAAGAGGTTCTCAATCGATACAAAGCAGTGAATCAACCCTCGACTAAAGCAATCGATCCACTACTATCAATCTATGGTGCTCTATTGACCTAATCAGGTATTCCCTCTCATAGGATCAAAGCAGAATCAATAATCTCGACTAAAGCATAATTGAATCATGAAAACATGCATAGATTGAATGTGAACTCAAGATTATCAAGTCAGAGTACTCATACAATCATCCAATCAAACAAACATAGCTAGGGTTCCTCAAAACCTTAGTGAAGGGAAGTTACTCCATAGAGAAGAAAGAGACTGCAGTAAGAATCTTCAGATGATCAGTCTTCAAGTCTGGGCTTGTTCCTCGAGCTTCCAAGGCGAAGAAATCCTCCAATTCCACTCTTAGAATGCCCTCAGATCGCCCTTTCTCTCTTTGGTTCGTCTCTTGGGTGTTTGGGATCCAAAACCCAGCTCTCCCCTTTCCTTTGGCTGAAAATCGGGTTTTAACCAGCAACTCCCGACTCACACGGGCAGGCCGCACGGCCGTGCAGCTCACCCAGTTGCCCATGCGAGTCAAAACGCAGCGTATCGATTAGTTGAATTCCAGGCTTCTTACACGGCCAGGGTCGCACGACCGTGCAGCTCACCTTGCACGGCCGTGAAGCTCACCTTGCACGGCCGTGCAGCTCACCTTGCACGGCCGTGCAGCTCACCTTGCACGGCCGTGTGGATTTTCTGCTCTGCCCGTGTTTGCTCTCGCACAATCCCACACGGCCAAACTGGTCACTTGCACGGCCGTGCAGGTTGTGGATGTGCCCGTGCGACTTCCTTTGTGACTTGCCTCGCGCCCGATATTCGCCCAATCGACCCCGAACTCGCTCCTAAACCTTCATTCACTTGCCAGGACCTGAAATATCACAAACAAGCACAACCTAGCGTGAAATCAGTCTAAAACACGAGAAACCACATCTCAAACGGTGTAAGAACAGGGGTGAAAACATGTGTAATTAATGGTCTATCAACCGGCTCTAGTGGAGCCTGATCCCAAGGTCCCGCCAGCAACAAAGCAACCACCTGCTAATGCACCCGCCTGCCGCCACCGCCCAGCGCCCTGCACAGCAGCCACCACCACCAGCAGGTGATCCCCTCGTTCAGACGGAGGATCGCCTATAGACGAACTTCATGGGATTCTCATCCCGCCTCGGCCGGCAGACCGACATCCTCGATCTTATGGCTTGACGCCAAGGTATCCTACCCGATTCTGGAGAGGGTCCTTCCACCGGAGAGAGGTAGGCGACGAGTGAGACATGTGGCAGAGCGGAGTCCTTTCGCCGCACTTCTCTACTTGTAACCCTGAACTTGTTTTATTTTGTTTTTGTTATTTTTCTTCATTTTGTGTGAGTGTGTGACATAAACTACTACTATGTATTGTGCTTGTAATAACCTTGCCTCGAGCGGTTCGTATTGTATTTGTGTGTGTGTGTGTGTGTTTTTTTGTCTCTCCTTGAAGCTGAATTATCATACCCTGGTGCAATTCCAACTTTCACTCACCAAGCCCAAGCGGTAACATCATTCTACCCCTTTCTTACGCCATTGAGGGCAATGTCGAGTTTAAGTGTGGGGGGGGGGGGGGGGGGGGGGGGGTAGTTTACTAGTACGCTTGTGTGACTGTGATAAATGCCTGGAGCCTTTTGTATGCACAAATTTCAAAATTTTGTGGGATCCAAGCAATGTTTGCATGAGCAAAGTGGCCGGATGGTGGGAAATTCTCGTGTTTACTGCATTGATCTTAAATTATTGCATGTGATCGATTATATCCTATGATGATGATTGAGAAGTTCATTAGGATAGTGCAAAAGTTTAGTTCTCATGTGTGCATAAATGAATGGATGTCTTGACTTGATCACTTGTTGCTTACGATTGCCATGCATCGTGTTTGTGAATTGGAATATATGGTTGGGTAACTAGGTAGCCTGTGAGCTTTGAGCCGATCGTTTTCTTCCGGTGTGATAGTTCCCTCTTACCATGGTGTGTAGCATCACAAGTTGTCACTAGTAAGTATGATGGAGGCATAGGATTAGTCCATGCCCAAATGTTGATTGTCCCGAAATGTGTCATCCTTTAGTCAACCCCTTTCAGCCTTGTGACTTCGAGTGTCGTTCTCAATTTAGGAGCTTAGTGCGTGTGAGCTTAATGTTGTTAATAGAACGACCTCAATCCTTTCTTCTTGTCTAAACATGAGTCGTCCTTGTGTCCCGGAGCTCTCGCCTTTGAGTTTCCATAGAGGTTCTACATGGGAGGTTCGTGTGCGGTCCTTGCTAGGGATGAGAAAATTGAAGTGTAGTGTTGGAGTGAGTTCCTCAAAAAGAGAGCATTGGTCGTTAAATGTATAGGTGACAAGTGTTTTTACTCTCTAGTACCCCCCTCGAAAAGAAAAGAAAAGAGAAACGAAAAAGAGGTAATAAAATGGGGAAAATAAAGTACAGAGTTCCACGAAAAACCAAAGTACATGCTGTAGGAGGGGTTTCTTGGCACCCAAGCCATCGAAATCCCGACATTGTTTTAGAACTCCTTCACTACCAAACCTTTATGTGCTACCAAGAGTAGACCGAGGAAGAGTGCTTCAATGTAGTTCACGATGGGTGATAGTTTGCAAAGGAGAGATAAGGGTTTTGGCCGATGTTAGTGGTCTTGGATTGAAAAGAGGAGTTTTAGTAGAAACCATAGAACCTTCGGGTTTAGGTTGAAGATGTAGAACTTCACGTCATGATTGCCACCTCCCAAAAAGCCTTTTTCCCATGTCCAAGACAATTGCCAGTCATCTGAACCCGTGTCTAAGACCTCCGGACGACCTAGTGTTGACAACCATCCCATGAACTCTAGCATCTAGAAGTTACCGCCGTGGTACTGAGATGATAGGTCCGAGAGTTATGATTGTGCACATCTTTTGCACCAAAAAGGTCCCGACCCCATTGGTCTTGAGAGTGAGTGATTCATTCTTGCTTTGCATGTCATATCATACCCTGGTGAGGACCTTTGTTGCATTTCCATTTGTTCCTCGGACTTGAATTCCATGCATGGTCAGTTGTGGTAAATAAGTGGTCTTGTTGCGACTTGCATTGATCCACGAACAAGGTGAGAACTTTTCGTTTGCCCTTTTTTGGTGGCTTCGAATGTCGTTTGTGGTGGATGTCGGTATTGCTTCCAACGGTTCATGTATTGATTGCCAATAGCCATTGATAATTCCCACTTTGTGCACTTTGAGCTGTCCCCAAAGTATTGGTGTAGGTTGAAATATTACCTTGTGTGAAATGGTTTGCTTGGGGACAAGCAAACGTCTAAGTGTGGGGGAGTGATTCGGGCCCAATTGTACATGTTTTGCCCCTATTTTACATAGATGTTTGTGTCAAATTCACTCCTAAAGGGTTGGTTTTATGCTAGGTTCTCCGTGTTTTAGTGTGTTTCAGGTTTTATCAGGTGAAACCAGCCTCGGAGTCGAAAGTTGGATGAAAAGGATCGAAAATCGGGAGAAGAGGTGAAAAAGGGTAGGTTCACAGCTATCCGAGGAAGTTCACGGTCTTGCACGACCGTGAAGAAGAGCCCTTGGCCGTGAATCGCGAGGCGTCTAGAGCCAAAACGGAGGTTATTGACGCAAGGTGAGTTCACGGTCACTAAGACCGTGAACAAAGGCTGTTGACCGTTAACAAAAGAGATCGAAGCGGTGCGTTTTGGCGCACGCCTGTAGTTCACGGACACGTTTCCTGGATCACGGCCGTGAACTCAGGCCGTGAACTGAGCTTGTCTCTGATTTAAATGATGAGCTGAAAGGAGGAGAGAGGGGAGAGCCCTCTTTGTGTGAAAATCCTTCTTCATATTTCTAGAGAGAGAAACACGAACCAAAGAAGAGGAAGGTTAGGGTTTTGCTTCAAGGTGGATTTTGGGAAGATTTCCTCCAAGGAAATCTCAACACAAGGGCCAAGGAGATTGGGAGCATCCTCCAAGATGGTTTCCTCTTATTCTCTTTGTTTTTTTCCCATTTCTAGCATGGAGTAGATCTCCTTTCACTTGGGTGTTGTGAAACCCTAACTCTACCATGTAGTTTCTTTTATGTGAATTGAATGATTGTCATTGGGTATTGTTTAATTCAATGGATGAGGTATTTTTCATGATTGATTGTGCATGCTTGTGCTTAGCAACTTAAGGGTTGTGCATGTTTTGTGCTTAGCATCCTTAGGTTTGTGCATTTTGGTGCTTAGCAACCTAAGGATTGTGCATAATTGTGCTTAGCACCCTTAGGTTTATGCATGTTGGTGCTAGCAATCTAATTAGCCACCTTAACCTATCTTAGAGAGGAAAATCCCCCTTCCAAGGGAGACTCAATCGAGTTGGTTTTCCTTAAGATTTTAAGCCACCTAACTAGGTTAATTTAGAGCAACCTTCAGTGTTGAATTAATCAAATAGGTCAATCGTGATTAAGTCGTCCGACCTTTGAGTTGATTGAGGGAGTAAGTCAATTATTGATTGCCTAAACCGAGAGGGTCGAGTGACATACCTTGCCCCAAACAGTCATTCCAATTCACATATCATGGTAGTAGTTAGGGGGGAAGCGACACCCGAGTGATCCTTCCACAAAAGAGTTTTCAAAACCCATTTACCTTTGTCCTATTTTAGTACAATTAGCAAACTTTTAAACCAAAAATTTGTTGCTAGTTTATGATTAAAACAGTTGAAGTAGGGGGTCAACGGAATAGCCCGGGTTGATATCTAAATACTTGCTCTATACTGCACCCGGCTAGAGTTTAAAAACTTGGACTCTAGTCGGGATTTTATTGTGGTGTAGTTTCGTGCGAGTCAGATCATATCACTTTTCAGTTCCTTATTTCATAACTCAACTTGTCCACTAGTATGGAGATGATAGGCCATTGACACCCGGTGGGTAACACCATAGCGATCGAGGAGTCTGTCGAGTTGCCCCTGAAAATGGGTTCCTCGGTCGCTAATGATGGCCCTTGGGGTCCCGAATCTTGAAAATAGCTTTTTAAGTAATCCACAGACTAGTCTTGCATCATTGGTGGGGAGAGCTTGAGCCTCAACCCACCTCGAGACGTAGTATACGGCCACAAGGATGTATTTGTTACCAAAAGACAAGGGGAAAGGACCCATAAAGTCGATGCACCAAACATAAAAAATCTCACAAGTAATGGGAATCGTTTGGGGCATCTCATTCCGGTTAGAAACATTACATGTCCCGACTGGAGCACCTTCCTTGCAGTTCGGTTGCCTCCGTGATGGCATCCAGCTGGTCTCGTGTGACAGTGGATTAGGATATCCATCATTTCCTTCTCCGATACACACCTCCGAATGACCCCGTTGGCCCCAATCCGAAAGAGGTGGGATCATCCCAGAAGTAGCATTGGAGGTCGGAGAAGAACTTCTTTCTCTCATGTGTATTCATTCCCTTGGGGAGTTACCCTCCAACCAGATAATTCGCGAAGTCGGCAAACCACGGTGTGGCACTCTCGACAGCAGCGAGGGCGAATAACCGTTCATCAGGGAAGGTGTCATTTATCTCTCTTTGAGAGATGCCCCCTCCCGCTCCATCAAGTCGCGAGAGGTGGTCAGCCACAAGGTTTTCAGCTCCCTTTTTGTCCTTTATCTCCACATCAAACTCTTGACGAATTAGGATCCATCGGATTAGTCGAGGCTTGGCATTCGCCTTGTTCATCAAGAAGCGGATGGCAGAGTGATCAGTGTAGAGAATAACCTTTGAGAGCACCAAGTAAGATCTGAATTTATCGAAAGCGAAGATCACTGCCAACAGCTCTTTCTCGGTAGTTGCATTGTGTAGTTCTCCTGAGCATCATTATCCATCTTTGAAGCGTAGCAAATAGGTTGAAAATGCCTACCCCACTTTGGCCCAACAATGCTCCCACTGCATAGTCACTCTCGTCACACATGAGCTCGAAAGGAAGGCTCCAATCCACTGAGACCATTATAGGGGCATTTGTAAGCTTCGCCTTGAAGATGTTAAAACCCTCAAAACATTCCTTTGTGAAAAAGGAAGGGGGCATCCTTCTCCAAAAGCTTGGTCAGGGGTAATGCTATCTTCGAGAAGTTCTCGATGAACTGACGGTAAAACCCAGCATGTCGAAGGAAGCTCCTGATGCCCTTGACTTTGGTTGGTGGAGGGAGCTTGCTTATTGTTTCAACTTTGGCTCAATCCACTTCAATTCCTCTCTTGGAGATTTTGTCACCCAACACAATGCCCTCTCGCACGATAAAATGTGACTTCTCCTAGCTCAAAGCTAAATTGGTTTCTTCGCATCGCTCAAAGACCTTCTCCAGGTTGGCAAGACAATGACGGAATAAATCTCCGAATACCGAGAATTCGTCCATGAACACCTCCATTATCTCCCCCCACGAGCTTATAAAAAATGACTACCATGCATCTCTGGAATGTTGCTGAGGTATTGCACAATCCGAATGGGATGCGCCTGTAAGAAAATGTTCCGAAGGGGCATGTGAATGTTGTCTTGGCTTGATCTTCTGGGGAAATTAAGAACTGGAAGTATCTTGACATCCCGTCTAAGAAGCAGTAGTAATCATGTCTAGCAAGCCTCTCCAGGATTTGATCTATGAAGGGTAAAGGGAAGTGATCTTCACAAGTGGCATCGTTCAACCTTCGATAGTCGATGCACACCCTCCATCCAGTCATTGTTCTTGTTGGTATAAGCTCTTCCTTCTCATTGGCCACCATCGTCATTCCTCCTTTCTTAGAAACCAACTGGGTCGGGCTCACCCAATGACTATCCGATATGGGGTAGATAATACCAGCATTCAATAGCTTAATCACTTCCGCCTTCACTACTTCCTCCAGATTAGGATTCACACGCCTTTGCGGTTGTCGAACCGGTTTGGCACCCTCCTCCAAGTGGATTTTTTGCGAGCAAAAGGCCGGTCCGATTCCTCGGATATCTGTGATCTTCCATGCTATCACCCTCTCGTGACGCCTCAAGACCTCAATCAGTTCGGGCTTATGCTCCGGTATAAGATTTGAGTTGATGATGAATTGGAGTTTTCCATCATCCCTTAGAAAAGAGTACTCAAGATGTGGAGGCAGAGGCTTTAGCTCCAACTCGCGAGGTTCCTCCAACGAGGTAGGGATTTTAGGCATCGAGGGCAAGGCATCTACTTCTTGATCTTGTGGAAGTTGGCTTTCCTCTTCCTGAGAGTTCGAGCTATTCGTCCCAACCAAACAATCTTCAGAAGGGTCAGAAGTATAGGCACCCGCGGATGCGAGTGCCTCCATGAAGTCAAAGACCTCTTCGCAATAATCGAAATCATCATGATGATGAGACAACTTCATGCTATCATCAATGGAGAATGTAACTTCTTCCTTCCCTACCCTAAGCACCAAATTTCCCCCATGCACATCAATCAAGGCCTTGGCGGTATCTAAGAATGGTCTACCCAAGATGAGAGGGACATCTACATTTTGATCAATGTCTAAAATGACAAAATCGACCGGATAAATAGGAGGCCCTACCTTAATGAGCAAGTCCACCACAACACCCTTAGGCCGTACAATTGACCTATCCGCCAACTGAATATTCATCCTAGTAGTTCTAGGTTCACCTAGGTCTAGATTTTGAAACAACTTATAATGCATCACATTTATACTGGCTCCTAGATCCGCCAAGCATTTTCCTATGCACATGTTGCAAATAAAACAAGGGATAGTGAAACTCCCTAGATCTTTGCGCTTTGTGGGCAGGTGGTTCTGCAGGATAGGGGAGCACTCTTCATTCAAGCTCACCTTAGCTAACCCCTCCAGTATCTTCTTGTTGGAAATGAGGTCTTTCACGTACTTTACGTACTTGGGCATCTGGGTAGCGGCCTCCATGAAGGGGATGTTTAAGTGCAACTGGTTCATCAACTCCATAAAGTGGGCAAACTCTGCTGCCATACAGTCATTTCAGAGTCTAGAAGGATAAGGAAGAGTTGGAGTTTCCTATTCCTTCCTCTGCTCCGGTTGGGGGATCAAAGCGGCCATCTCCTTTTCACTCGTGGCCTCCTGTTGCTCGGGGGGTGGGGGTGGGGTGGCTACCATCCCCATATTGCTCCTCTATGGAGAGCGTCTTCTTCTTTAGCGGTATCTCCTTCGCGTCGCTTCCACTTCGAAGAGTAACCGCCCCCACTTCTATTTCGTCGGCTGACTCGTTCTAACTACAACATCCCGATCGACGACCAAGTATAACCGGCGATCAGGTGTATCATAGGGCAAGCAAGCAATAAGAATTTATCGTACTACGGGGATCTAGGCTTACTCTACTTCAGGTTTAGGGTTCATTATCTAGCCAACCTAGGATAGTGATTGATATAATTAAACTAACTAACCTAGACTAACCACTAACCTAGCTATTTACAAGGTTGGGAGCTCTCTTGGGTTAAATCCCCCTATTTTCGACCTTTGGATCGATGTCGAGTATCCTCCTAGCTCGATCGACTCAAATACACTATCGTTTGGAGATGGACTCCCTCGGGAATGACCTGGAATGGTGATTTGACGGATGGGTAGGTGCTCTATTCAACCTAGGGTATATATTGCAAGGAGACCAATGGAATTAACTCATGCCATTCATTAAAACATCCATCAATTAGATAAAATCATCAATCAAACTAGTAAGTTGTCACATACATCAACAACAAACCAAAATCTAGACCTAGGGTTCTTAATCCCAAGAGAAGAGGGTGAGTTTCTAGAGAGAGTGATGAGAGATTACAAAGAAACCTCTAGATGATGTGATCCAAATCCGAAGAGAACCCTCAAACTCGGATGATATGACCAAAGTACACAACCTTTCTTCTGGAATTTTCGAAGCTTTTCTTGACAACTTGAAAATAAAGGATAGATTATGGAACACGATCAAACATATCCCAACTCGTGTGAAGGGCCAATTGGTATATGAAACCAATCAAACAATCACCCACTCGTGGATAAGGCCAATCGCTATCTGGTAGATGCTCGCGACAACTAGACACGTTCTCTAGTTGATAAGAGACAAGTGAAACTCCTGGAGACTCTAGATAGAAGCTTGCACAAACGTTCACAAAGGAACATGAGCGAACACTCTTAATTGATAACTTGAATATTGGGTACCAAATTCGTAGATCTTACACCCTCTATTTATAGAGGTCTCAAAAAAATATATCTAACCTGAAAGGAATCGGTAAACAAATCCCAAATTAACTAGGTAACTTAATACTACTTTAACAAAAAAAGAAAACTACTAATTAAACACATAAACACGTGATGAATTCTTCCATTTCGTTTGCGGAATGGAAATTTTGTTTTCATCGATGGCTTCGGAAACTCTTTTTCTCGTCTTCACGTGTCCATTTAATTCATGCCCTTTAATCCTTCCCTTTTGAACACACAGACACGTCACCTTCCACCAACCATTAACCCCACGCCATAATAATTCTTCATGAATCCACCAAGTAAATGATTCACAGATGAGCCCAAATTTTGTCTCCCTATCTTCATCTCTTCGCAATTGCTGAACCACTCCCAAGCAATCCGAAACAATCGTCATTTCCCTAACACCCAGCCTTCTTGCCAGCTCTAAACCAAAACCAATAGCCATGGCTTCCGCTTCCTCTGGGTTCCATTGCACCCTAGACCTTCTCATCGCAGCGAACCTGAATCCCCCTTCTCTCTCTTGAACCACCGCTCCCCATCCAGTTCCTCGACCAGCCATACATGTAGCATTGACCGATATCTTCACAGGGGCCGTTATTTGTGGTTGCCACCGCCGATTCGCAGATGGTTTGGCCGGTTGATGCTGCTCTTGCTTCTCCAGGTAATCTTGTAGCCATTCATTTGCTCGTGGTGTAATTTCCCATTCCTCTAACTTCTTCTTATTCCACAGCTAGCAATTTCGCTGATCCCATATAAACCAGAGGGCAACCAAGAATTCGCCGAGCTTCTCATCAGATTCAGTCTCCTGGAGTTCGCAGAACCACTCTTCAGAGGTGAGAACTTCCCCCCTTTCTACACAGGAGTTCATAGGGCTATATCTCCAGACTCGTCGAACCCAATCACATTGATGGAAAATGTGTTCTTGCGTCTCCCTTAAATCGCGAAAGGGGCACCCTTCACTACTCTTCTGCATTCGATCAAAAATTCGTGCTCCTGTAGGGATTATGTTATTCAGCCATCTCCACACAAATATCTTTACCTTTGGGGGGATTTTCAAGTTCCAAAACCTCTTCCAGTTAACAAGGGTGTAGAGCTCTCCTTCCTCTTCAATGTTTCTGTCTTCCCATAGTCTGTAGGCTGACTTCACAGAATATCTCCCTGACTTTTCCTTATCCCAGATCAATTTATCTTCCATAGGTTGCCGCGGGATGGGAATTTTCTGAATGTTTACCCTATCAGTAGGATTAAAGAAACTCTGTAACAAGTCTGTGCGCCTGCACTTCAATTCATGATCAATTAGCTCTGCCACTGAGGTAGAATTTCCCCAGGGAGATGTTCGCGAGGTGACTCGCAAAGATTTACTAGAAGGCACCCATTTGTCAAGCCATATATCTATTTTATTGCCATTCCCTACCCGCCATCTCATCCCCCTTTTAACTAGATCCTTTGCCGCCATTAATCCACGCCACACCCAGCTTGGATTTTCCCCAATTTCTGCCTCCAGAGGGTTTCTATCATCAAAATACTTTGCTTTAAGCACCTTTTCCACTAGAGTGTCAGGAAATTGAACAATCCGCCATAGTTGCTTTCCCAGTAGAGCTAAGTTAAAGCTCTGGAGCTTTTTAAACCCCATTCCACCCAATTTTTTGCGTTTACAAAGTTCTTTCCAGTTTAACCAGTGAGTCTTCCCTTCCTCCTGTTGTTGCCCCACCAGAAATGAGCCACGACTCTTTTAACTTCCTTGAGAGTGCTAATCGGAATTTGGAACACTGACATGGCATATGTCATTTGCGCCTGAGCTATAGATTTAATAAGAACTTCCTTGCCTGCCACAAATAGTAGCTTCCCCTTCCAGGCCTTCACTTTTGCTCGAACTCTATCCACCAAATAGCCAAACACCTGCTTTTTTATCTTCCAATGATAGTAGGTAAACCCAGGTACCTTTGGTGATAGTCCACCCTCTTCATATTCAGAATATCAGCTAGCTCCTTCTGCCTCTCATATCTCACATTTGGACTAAAAGATAGCTCTGATTTGGTTAGATTAACCTGCTGGCTTGATTCAGCCTCTTACACAATTATAATTTCCTTCACTTTTTCACATTCAGCCTTAGTTGCCTTCATAAACAGGATGTTGTCATCAGCAAATAGAAGATGGAAAATCTGAGGTGCATTCTTCTTAACTTTCAGGCCTTCAATCTGTTTCTCCCTTTCTGCCTTAGTTATTAGGGCTGATAGGCCTTCAACCAAGAATAAGTAAAGATAAGGAGATATTAGACCCCCCTGTCTTAGTCCTCTGCTAGGATAGAACTTCTCTGTTTGATGGCCATTAACAAGAGTGGAAAAAGAGGCAGTGGTGACACAAGTCATCACCATCTGAACCCATCTAGGATCAAAACCCAACTTCAACATAATGGCCTCTAGAAAGGACCATTCGACCCTGTCATAAGCTTTAGTGATGTCTAGTTTAGCAGCCACATAACCCTTATTTCTTGATTTCTTCGCTTTCATCGAGTGAAAACACTCGAAAGCTATCATCACATTGTCAGTGATTAGTCTGCCAGGCACAAATGCACTCTGATTTGGTACAATCACCTCATTCAGCACCCTTTTTAGTCTGTTAGCCAGCACCTTTGATAGCACCTTATAGAGTACCTTACATAGACTAATGGGGCGAAAATCAGCTGGGGTTGGGGACTTTTCTTTTTAGGTATTAACGCTATAAAGGTGTGGTTCAAATCTTATGAGAAGCTGCCCTCTTCCAGATAGCCTTGTAGCTCCGCAGTAATTGATTCTCCCATAATATCCCAATTCTTCTGGAAAAAGAGGGCAGGCATACCATCAGCTCTCGGAGCTTCTCAAAGGTTTTAGTAGATCTGCATTCATGCTTGATGTGACCTTGCATGGTACAGCATTTATCACTATCCTAGATCCAGAACCAGAGTCAGAGGTATACAGTTTCTTGTAGAAACTCACTATGCCCCTTGCCACATCTTCCTGGCCTATCCAAATCCTTCAATCCACATCTTTAAGCTTTCGGATCATATTCTTAGCTCTTCTCTCTGAAGCTCGTTTGTGGAAGAACTTAGTGTTATTATCTCCCAGCTTTAACCAATCATTTATTGATCGTTGCTTCCATATTAGCTCCTCCTAGACTAGGATCTCTTCCAATTCGCTCTCTAAGACTCTCCTTTGGGCCAGGATAGCTTCGGTTTTCTGCTTTTTGTCAATCTTCTCGAGAGCCTTTTTGTCTTAATCCTTCTGCCTTTTAAGCTGCCAAAGGTCTGCTTACTCCAACACCTTAGCTTTTCTTCACATAATCTGATTCTTTCCAAGACTGAGTCTAAGCCATTCGATTCCCAAACATCTTTTATCACTTGTTTGCATTCCCCATGGTCCTGCCAGTAAGCTTCAAACTTAAAATAGTTTCCCCATTTCACATCCTCTGCCAGAACATTTGTTTTCAAGAGGATTGGATTGTGGTCAGAACCACATCGTCTTAGGTGATATACCCCTGCGTCAGGATAGAAACTCCGCCATGACTCAGTTGCCACCATTCTATCCAGTCTCTCCTCTAGAAAAGTTTCATCTTTGTGATTATTATCCCAGGTATAAGGCTTTCCATAGAAACCTAAATCCTCCAGTTGACAGTCCTCAAGAGCTCTTTTAAAACCGTCCATTTCATCTCCCTTTGCTGGCTGTTTCCCTCTCTTCTCAACATAGTGTTGGATTAGGTTAAAATCCCCACAGCACAGCCACGATAGATCCGTAAGAGATTTGAAGAACCTGAGTAGGTCCCAGGTCAGATGCTTCTTCCCCTAATCGGGCCACCCATAAACTCCAGACAGCCTCCAGCTATGCCCATCCTCTTTTATTTTCATGTCTATGTAGTTTTCACCACTTCCTTTAATTTCCAGATTAATGTCCTCCTGCCACAACACTATCAGGCCTCCTGCTCTTCTAGTAGAGCCCACACCAAAACCCTTGTACCCATGTATCATGTCTACCTCCTCTTCCCATTCCTTTTCATGTCTCTTAGTCTCCATGAGGAAGACTACTCTGAGATTTTCTCGTCGTATAAGACGATCAAGCTTTTTAATTGCCAGGTGACTCCCCAAACCCTGGCAATTATAGCTTAGGTAACTCATTGAGCTGGGCGAGTCTGCTCCTCAGTAGAGACGGCCACTCCGCCATCCAATATATTATTTTGAGTACTAGTGAATTATAAAGTTTTTGGCTTCTTTGCCACTCCCGAATTTGGTCCTCCATCTACTGCTCCATCATCTTGAGATGTTGCCTGTCTTTTCTGGGCAGTAAGATGTACCCCAGCTGCTGGTTTTGCCTGACCCTGCTCCTTCCTTCTCCACACCCTGGCAGTGCTCCTGCTAGTCTTTCCTCCGTCTGTACTGCCCATCACGAACTTTTTTAATGCACCCACATACTTATCCACCATATTTGCTAATTGTTTTGGAAACTGAATAGGGGTTTGTATGGTGGCAGCAGGTCCCGTTTGTTGATCCATTCTAATTTCCTTCCCAGCTTGTGTCTCCCCTTGTGCCAGTGTCCGATTTGGTATCTCCTCCTCCCTTTCTCTAGTTTCCTTAGTTTCCAAAACCATATCATGGTCCGAATTAGATCCAATGCTCTCCATTTCAAACTTCTGTTTCAAAGCAGCCCAAACTTTAGGATCTTCCTTCTTAGCCGTGTACGAGAGCCAGTTTTTGGGTCCAGATTTGTGCTTGATGATCTTCTTCTTCTTCTTCTTCTTCTTCTTCTTCTAGGCTTGATTCCTAGCTTCTAAACTTGATCAATGTCTTCAATAAAGCTCCAAGATCACACACACACACACTCTCTCTCTCTCTCTCTCTCTCTCTCTCTCTCTCACTAGAACTCCTCTTTGGTGTTTTGTGTTGAAACCTAGAGAAAGAAAGTGTTCCTTCTCCAAAAAGCAGCTCTCCCTGCTGCTGTCTTCATATTTTCCCGAAATGACCAATTCACGACCGCGTTGGCCAGTTCACAGCCGTGAACACCTAAACACGTCCGTGAACTCAGTGTCGTCTCCAAACCGCACTGCTTCACTCTCCTGGGTTCACAGTTTGTGCACCAAGTTCACGGTCTTAGAAACCGTGAACTCCCTTGGCGTCACTCTCCTGGATTCACGGTATCTGAAGAAGAAGGTGCTTTCTCACTCTTGGGCTCTCCCTCTCTCTTTCCTTCAGCTCACGTTATATACAAGGATCAGGCTCAGTTCACAACTTCTGTTCACAGTCGTGAACTCCTCAACGCGTCTGTGAACTCGAAGTGTTGTGTCGAAATGCACTGCTTCACTCACTTGAGTTCACGGTTTGCACTCAAAGTTCACGATCTTGGTGACCGTGAACTCACTCGGCTTTAGTAACCTCTGAAATCGCCCTGGACGCTTCACAGTTCATGGTTTATGGCTCTAGTTCACGGCCTTAGGAGACCGTGAACTCCAAAGGGAAACCGTGAACATGGCCTAAATCACCCTCTTTGCCCGTTTTCTTCCAACTTTCGACTCCGGGGCTGGTTTCACCTGTTAGATCCTGAAAGACACAGAAACACTCAAAACCTAGTGTAAAACCACCCTTTTAAGAGCACAAATGCCACAATTACCAAGGAAAACGGGGATAAAATGTGTACAATTTGGCCCAAATCAGTTTGGGAAGCCAACTTTTGCTAGGTCTTCCATTAGAGCTATTCACACTTCCTAACAAGCCATGATTTAGTAACCAAAGTTTTCCGTTCCGATTCAACCAAATAGGCATTTATTGTCGTACTTAAATATAAAAAAGTTAAAATTTCAAATAGTGTGAGTCAAGCTAATAAAACATAGGTTTTTATTATTATTTTTTCTTAGGTTAATGCCAATCAATTATATGCATTAGTTATGCATATGGACACCTGACTACACATTCATTATGTTGATTGCAATTTACCAAATTCACACCATCTTTTTTCGGCCAATGGACCGGACTATAAGCTAGTATTTTTAGTGACCAAACATGAACGTTTTAAGTAATCTCAGTGACCAACCTTGTCATTTAACAAGTAAGTAAAATCGTAGGATTTTAGGATTTAAATTGGGATTTAACTGCATTGGCGAGGGGGAGAGGTTTTATTCTTTTGGAAATTTAAAAAATAAAATTTTATTATTTTTTAATTGTCACGTTTCTCATTTAACGATCAACTATGAGGAATGACTATCACATCAAGTAAAGTTAACGTGAAAGAATGCAGTCAAAGGCGAGCTTCTAGGTACAAGTGAAATGATGGGTAAAAGTGAAAGCACAAAAGTGAAGCGTAAGCTTTTACACATCCTATAATTTTAATAGAAATATATTCTAACCATAACTTGTATTTTGCAAAAATATTCTAACAAATACTTTCACACACATAAACTAAATTAATATGCTTTTAAACAAGCATTCACCACCTTTCTCTTACTTTCGGGAACAAAATATGAGAAGAGAAAACTATGATAAATGATGAAGCTATAAGGGTTCTAAACTAGCTTCAATAATAAGGGAAAGTGGCGAAAAATGGGAGGCTGGAGGAGATGAGCTTTGATGATAACATAGTCATAGCAGTGGGGTGGGAGTTGTAGGGATGAAAAGGGTTGATGCATCAAGTGAAGATGTCCAAGTTGTAATAGCAATGAGAGCCACCTAAGAGGAAGTTGGACTCACGTTGAGGGAAACTGAGGGAAAATGAGGGAAAAGGCATTGGAAGTTGGACTTTGGATGTGGCATGTACTGGTTTTGGAGGTAGAGAAAATACGAGAATGAGGAGAAGTGGGTATGAATTAGGGATGATGAATTCATACAAGCAAAGACTGAAATGATAACGCGACTACAAAACAAATAAGACTGCATCATTTTCTCTTTTGCCATTTCTTTTTTTTTTTGAACCGAACATGACCAAATATTGTCATCATACTCGGATATCAAAATGGTAGAAAAGTGATTAAAAGCTAGCTTCTAAGGCTTTTACTCGGCTTGAGAGCTTTTACTATGCAAATAGATTTTTAAACAAAACTGCAATTTTTGGGGGTTCCAAAGCGTAAAAGTGTTGCCTTTTAGACTTTAAATCTAGGTTTTGACTACATTGGTGAAACAAATTAGTAAACTTGAATTATTGAACTAATTGTAGTGATAATGAATGAAATAAAATATTTTTAGTGACAAAAGTGAAACAATTTAGTAAACCCAGTAACCAAACTTTCAGTTGACCTTTTATAAATTACTTTATGATAGTCAGAACAACAAATTACAAATGAGACTACAAAGTCTCCGCTCATTTAAACTTTAAGTTGAATATTTGAATATTGAGTTTATAGGTTGACTTTAATATATTTAAATTTTTATCATATGTTGGATTCAAACAGGAATTATTATTTTGGATAATGCTATATGTTATTACTTTTTCCATACTATACTTTATATAATTATATTATGTGGGGTCGTTTGGTAGTTGTGATTGTTAGATTTGTGTTTATTGAATACATGTATCGTGCACAATACAATGTTTGGAAGTGTCAAAGTGTAAAACAATGCATGTATTGTTTTAGTAGGTCCCAACAACAATCATAAAAAAATGATACATTATAGGGTTATAGGTATAATATGTCCCTCTACTATGACGTTTTACCAAACATGCCCCTCTACTATTTTTTACATCAAATATGCCCCTGTACTTTGAAAAAATTATCAAACATGCCCTTCTATTAAATTTTCATTTGAAAAAATTGTCAATCATGGTTGAACCGAGATTAGACGACCCGACATCGACAAATGGGAGGAAAAATGTCATTTTTGTCCCTTTTTTTATTTTCCTGAGTCTTTACAAAGTGAAATTATTTGAATGATTTGATTATACAAAAGAATCAAAAAAAATTCTAAAGTGAATTTATTAAGGATATTTTAGTCATTTGTGTCTCCCAAACTAAAGTTCGGCCTTGGTTAACGATTTTTGGATGAAAATTTTAACAAAATGGCATGTTAGATAATTTTTACAAAGTACAGGGTCATGTTTGATATAAAAAATAGTAAAGGGGCATGTTTGATAAAGCGTTATAGTAGAGGGGCATATTATACCTATAACCCCTACATTATACAATCTCAACTAAAAGTTGAGATTGTTGATTTTAGATTTGTGTCCAACTTTTCTTCTGAATGGCTAAACCTCGCCCTGATTTTATTATTATCGCCCTAATTTAAAATTACTATATTAACCTTAATAAAACAAAGAAACCGTAGAAGCCCTAGTTGTCTTCATCTCCTCCCAAGGGCGGCGGCCTTCCATCCCCGTTGATCACCTGTCCTGCCGTTGTCGGACTCCTCCCTGGGCGGCGGCGGCGATCGCTACTTTGTCCTGCCGCCGTTCAACATTGGATCGACTAACTGCCGACGAATTAAAGCTTGCGGTTAGAGAGGAAAGGCGGGATCGATCGAAGGGGTGGGGCTGGTGTGCCTGGTGGAGGCGGAGCTTTTCCCCACTTTCCCTTGCCGATTTTGCAATTGAACATGTCCTTATTATCGAAGATTATACCAATAAGAAGCAATGAAAAGTAGATGTAGATGGTCTTGGAGGGTGGTAGGCTGGTAGCTATCGGAGGTTGGTAGCGGTGGCTGACGGGAGGAGATGGTAGTTGTAGATTAGTTTTGTTTTTATTCTAATGATAAGAAAGGATATAAATGTAATTTTAATATAGGGCGACAAATAGCAATCCCCTTTTTCTTTCCGTTTATATTCCTATTAGTTTTTGTCTTATACTAAAAGTTGAGGATAAATGTGACATTTCCACATAAAATAACTGGATACAAGTCAATACATGAAGTAGAATCTCAACAACCAAACAATATATTATTAAAATGCATCCATTGTACCGATACATGTATTTATTTTATTATAATTCATTACAATGTAACGAATTAACATTCGCAACTTTCAAACCACCTCTAGGGGAAATCAAGTTAAATTAGGGATGGCAATGGGGCGGGTTTGGGGCGGGTTTGTCTAAATCATCCCCATCCCCATCTTCAAATACCCAAACCCATACCCGCCCCATACCCATGCGGGGGAATGTTTTGCAAACCCATCCCCATACCCGTGGGTTTCGGGTACCCATGGGTAATACCCGTACCCATACATCCAACATTATTATACCTAAAATTTACAAGAAAAGTTTTAATTATTACTCTAAACGAACCTATTATATCATGAAGTCAACAAAACACGATCATTTTCTTAATACGGTTCAAAGTATATGATCCTAAAACATCCATTAATACATAATATAGAGTATAATATTTTTCAAATTATTATCTTCTAACTCTTATACATCTACTAAGTAATAATTAACTAACATAATCTTGTAGACAAGGGGAAAAGTGAAAGAGTGAAAGGAGAATTGAGGGAAATGAATTAGATTTTGTTAAAATGGTCACTCAATTGCATTTATACTTTTTATTTCCTTGAGTTATCCTCATCACCATTGATAGATTACAATTTAATCCACATATTTTTTTTATATGTGAAGAAATTCTCTTGGTGGGGCGGGTATGGGTATGGGGCGGGGGAGGTCAAAACCATACCCGCCCCATATCCATCAAACTTTTTGCGGGTTTTACCCATACCCGCCCCATACCCGGTCAAAGCGGGGATTCCCCGCGTTGACTGGGTCGGTGGCGGTCGGATACCCGCGGCCATGGGTTTTATTGCCATCCCTAGGTTAAATCAATCAGAGATCCTTCACCCACTAGACCCGGCCACCTGGTGAAACCAGTTGACAAACTTTGGGTTAGCATGCTAACCCCCTTTTTTAAGGGGTTGGTTTTTTGACACCCCCCCCCCCCCCTTAATTGGTCAATTTTTTATTAATTATTGACAAGTATTAATGAAAGTAAACATAATAAATGTTATGTTATTAAATACAAAGTAAGCATTAAATACACCACATTAATTACTTGTTTTTAAAAAAAAATCTAAACATATACAAAGTATAATTCTCTCTCTCTCATCTTTGATCTTTCTCACTCCTATCTCTGATTCTTCCTTTCCGAGCAGCCTCTGGCCACCAAGTTTCCTCCGACCACCACACTTCGCCGGTAAATTCCGCCGACAAACTCTCTCCGGTCACATGCAAAAATATGCCACTGCACTGATATGTTGTACCACTTTACTGGTATTTGTACCACTGCACTGATACTCAGATTTGACATTGCTACCAGTGCACTGATATCGCTACCAGTGCAGTGGTATATCTACCAGCACAGTGGTACAACGTATCAGTGCAGTGGTATATTTTTTGGAGGTGGTCGGTGGGAGTCTGCCGATGGGATTTTCACCGGAGAAGTGTGGCGGTGGGAGGAAGTCTGGTGGTCGGAGATTGCTGAAAAAGGAAAAATCAAATATAGTGAGAGAATTCCTAATGTGTATTTAATGTGTGTATTTAATTCCTAATGTGTATTTAATAGTGAGAGAATTCCTAATTAATATGGTGCATTTAATTCCTAATGTGTATTTAATGTGTGTATTAAATTCTATAGTTGTATTTAGGGGGTGTCATTTTTCCAACCCCTAAGACTAACTCCAACCCAAAAAGCTATATTTAGCCTCCCAAGCTCTCAAATGTGCATATTTGCCTCCCCAAAACACCTTTTTGCTCCAACCCTATAGGCTTCCAAATTTAGCTTCCCACATCTTTTTTTGATTTAATTTCCATAATCCATACTTATTTACAATATCATTCTTGTAATTCACTTTAATTTTTTTATAGTTTGTTATTACTTGTGAAAACAAATTTTTCGATGTAATTTTTTTTAACTCCGAGATAATTTTTTTTTCTTCAAAATTAGTCATTTTTTGTAGCCGTTACTTTATGACCGTTTTTTTGGACCGATCCAAATATGACCGTTTTTTTTAGCCGTTACTTTATGACCATTTTTTTGTCATTTTGTGCATCATATGTGTTTATAAATTACAATTCTTCATTTTTCATCAACTCACTGAAACTTCTTCCCATTTCTAAAACAAACACATTCATCATGAGTATGTCAGATAGCTCATCGTCGGGAGGAGAAGAAGAAATCGAAGAGTACGAGAGGTTTCACCACCTACGGTTGAGTTTAATCGGCCGGAGGCTAGCTGAAGGTTCATCAAGTCGACGTCAAACTACATGAGCTTTCCAATTGGGTCCTCTATTACTTGACATGTTTTTGTTTTGAGAGATGATAAATAGATGAGAATGAGAGAGATTGA